CCACGAATAAATTTAACGTCTTTTCCGCCTGTGGACCGTGAATCGTGATCCGGACGGAATTACGATATGCCACCCATTTGATATCCAGATTACCCGAAAGAAGTATAACATGTTTAAAAAAATGTCATTGTAGTTAAAATCATGAACACCTAGTGGAATTTTAACTGCTACATAAAAATTATTAGAACTATCTTGACATTTATTTTCGGTTCATCCTCTCTGTTTTTCTTTAAAGCCCAATTTTGGCTATGTTCGAAAAATTTCGAAATAATGATTAGTACTATTACATATTACGTATTTTTACATACACATAAAAGTTTCAGATATTTGACACATGTTAGTGGTAGGTAAAATTTAATTGTATAAATATAATATCAACACCAATTAATGATTGTAGACATACACACAGACACAATATCTTTGTCAACTCGTAATTAGATATTAATATTATTTTAGAAATAGCCGCCGAGGCAGCTGTTCAAGGTCCCAACTTAAAACAATGTAAAATTCAAAGTCGTCACTAATAGTAACGTCATTCCAGTAGATGTCGTTATGGGAGACTTTCCTTAACTGTCAATTAAATTCTTATAACAGTTTCCTATTTTGAGTAGAATTGACGCAAAAAATAATTTCGCGGTTGCTTATCGAAAACTAAAAATCTGTTTTAAGTTAGTATATTTAGCATTGACACATTTCGTGCCGCGGACTAATGACGCGAATAAGTTTGTATTAGAAATATTTAAAAAGTGCGCCATGGACACCAGCTCCAGCATCGTTGAACAATTCGGGAAATATCAAATTCTACAAATCATTCTAACGTGTCTACCGGGCGTCTTCAATTCTATGAGCAACGTCAACTTTGTATTTGTTGCTGGCGATATTAATTATAGGTGAGTGGCATTCATATTTCTAAGAATAAATAAAATATTATTTACGGTCGACCGTGAATCGACATATTAGTCACACTTTAAGTAGTATAATTGTAACTAAACGTTTAAGAATGTGTTATAATAATTGAAATATTGCGTTGCGATGAGGACCCATAGATAGGTAGGGTTTGACCAGACACATTGTTTTGTTCGTTTCCCGCATCGATTATGTTTATAGGCGGGTAGTCACCGGACCGATACAACAGTTTTATTATGTGAAAATGTAGGTAGGTAAATCGGCAATAATGTATCCAACGTCTACATTTACCAATTAAACAATTACGCACTTTAAAACTCGTTACTAGATACATAAACGATTGAATAATTAAGGCAAACATGAGTTTGATAATAAATTTTCTTAATTACATGTTAATAGTTTGCTCAGTCTTTTATGAGATAAAATTTCATTTTTTTTTGGAGAATGGGGCGGACACATTTTAAAGCCCATTTCAAAGTATTTGCTGTATGCGAGTACATATTTAAATAAAACACTATTTACGGCTAAAAACCCGAGATACATGAGATCACGTTATTTTTATTTTAACTAGAATTCGGCTGCGGTCAATCATCCGGCACGTAGTTAGTTAATATATTTAGCGTTTCGAACCGTTAAAAGTGTTTTATTTAAATTGCCAATCACATGCCTTCCCTGAATTATGAGGTAATTATTGACCCTGCTTGCAGATGCCGAGTACCTGAATGCGAAGCTGATGATGTCTTTTCACCACCATGGTGGCCCAATTCGTCAGAAGACCGATGTTTAAGCCCATTATATAACAAGAGTTTGAACGGCATCTGTACAAACACCAGCTTTCACGGTTGGGATCATTGCACCAGCTGGATTTATGAATCCAACGATACAGTTATCGCAGAGGTATTTCTTTAATCGATTTTACTATTTGAACCGAAAATGCTATTTTGGATTGACTCTTTTAAATTTTCGTTACTTATGCAAAGGAAGATTGGTAGTTATAGTACAATATATATTTGTACTGTATGTCAGTACTTAAGTCAGAATACAAATTACGCATAAATTTTAGTTATTTATATAAACTTAATGTAATGTCGTACGAAATTAATTAAATAATTAAAGAGATATAGAACGGGTACATACTAACTGAGTAACTATATAAATTATTGTAGGTCATTCTACTTTCAGCTGGATCTTGCCTGCCAACGAGTAAAATCTAATATGATCGGCACTGTGCATAATGTTGCGATGGCCATATCGATGTTTTCCGCTGGCTGGGTGGCTGATTGGTAACTTGTATTTTGTTTAATGTTAGAGGACAGGGGTTCTCTTGATGGTAGGTAAAATACCCCAGCCTATAGCATCTCTATAGGATCCACTGTCGATCTTTTTTGACTTTGGATATTCGGACATTTACAGACTGAAACCGAAACGTGATTAAACTTCACGGCTTTTTTTCTGTGGACGGTAGTTCGAGATCAGGACGGAATTTTGATATTCCTACCACCCATTTAATATAGAGATTTTCAGACGAAGTCCAACATTGCTAATCCTAAA